TGACTGTTTGGGCCGGGGGAATGCTTTTTGTTGCTGTTTGGGCGGGGGGCGTTTTTTTTTTTGCTGTTTGGGCGGGGGACGGGAGTTCACTCACTTACCGGTCTGCCTGGCTCGTCTTCAAGCGACCCAACAACAAAAAAGACCAAACAGCAAGAAAAAAAAACTTTCCCAGAATAAAGCATCTGCAAGATCAGGATCAGGATCTGTTGGTTCAACTGTTTCTTCTAATCACCCGCTCTGAGCCGAGGTGCGAAGACTTGAGCCAGCTGGCGTGCGAGTTGAGCAGCTGTCACATTCAATATAACCCCAATATAATACAACTCGAATATAAACTCAATATAAACGCAATATAACCCCAATGTAACCCCAATAGAAATCCAACATAACCCCAACATAAACCCAACATAAACCCCAATATGAACCCAACATAAACCCAGTATAAACCCAACATAAACCCAAATATGCGCGCAACATAAACCGAATATAAACCCAATATATTATAACCGCGATATAAACCCAACATAAACCCAACATAAACCCAATATAAACCCAATATGAACCCGATATATTACAACCCCAATAAAGCCTAATATAAACCCAACATAACCCCAATATTAACCCAACATAAACCCCAATATTAACCCAACGTAAACCCAGTATAAACCCAACGTAAACCCCAATATTAACCCAACATAAACCCCAATATAAACCCAACATAAACCCCAGTATAAACCCAACATAAACCCCAATATAAACCCAACATAAACCCCAGTATAAACCCAAGAGTGCTTTTAGGCAATACGTTGAAGCTTTCTGCTGCGCTGTAGTCCTGGAGCTGCTGCTCGATCTGGCAGAGAATGATCCATGCATGGATCCAGGTACTCAAGGACATGGAAGGAAGGGTGGGTTCATATTGGTGTATGTTGGGTTTATATTGGGGTTCTATTGGGTTTATATTAGGGGGTATACCACATAGCAACATACACGAATCAAAACATGCATACTTCTACGTTTACTTCTTCTTCATCACGCAGACAATTTGCTAGCTGCCTCTTTTGGCTAAACTTACTCTGCCACAGGCCTTGCCCATGGACGTCGCATCAGCAGCCAGAGTTGTGTACCTTGTCGCAGACGACCATAGTAATAGCAATCGTACTAAGAAGACTAACAACAATAGTAATGCGAATACTACTAATACTTGTTCTAGTATGCAATCAGGCTCTCATGCAAGAACAATCATCATTTGTAACAGGTTCACGGGGCACTTGAGGACACGCTCAGGAGCTCCCTTCAGGATCTGCGCAGGGGCGAGGCAATTAGCAAATGTTTCGCCTACGTGTGCAAAAGCTAGGCGGAAGCAGGAGGCGCGGACCGCAAAGTAGTTTCCCTGACCAGCGGTGCCATGGATGGTGAGCATCCACCTGTAGGATAGGCCACAATTTGCTCGACCAACCCATGAAGCGCAAGACGGCTTGCAAGGACTCCGGCTTGTTTTCCGAGTTGAAGGGGATCTCAAATGTTTTGTAGTTCTCTGGCCTGCATGAAAAAGCTCGCACCACGTGCCATGAGCTTCCCTGCTGAACCCATTTTCTTCAGATTTGAAAGGGCTCCGGCTTCGACTTCAGCGTTGCAGTTGGCCCAGGACCGCCAGCCACCTGAATTAAGCTTCATCTAGATTCAAATTGCACAGGGCAGAAACACACAGCCTCTGCACACGCGCGAAGAATGGCAACCTCTGTTGGGGAGCCAGTCCTGCATGCGTAAAAGGAGGATACATGATGTTCTATAAAATGCCCTCCAAATAAGGGCCGCGCCAGCGCTCTTCCCCTTTCTCAACCTGACAGCAACGAGGGCACTACAATGACGAGAAAACTGTCAACCATGAACAGTAAAAGAAATCAGCACCATTGAAGAAATGCAAAAAGTTGAAGAAGGCAAGAAAACGGTGACATGATGATAATTAGCAAGGTCGCCAATGCGGAACCATGGGAGTGCTTGGAACTGTGTCACAAGGCTTGGGGGCGTTTCATAAACAAGTAACAAGTGATCGTATGATGGTTGTTGGCCATGCCCTTTGCTCCGCGTACAAAACTTCACAGGAAAAACACATCCGAAGCATTTCACAAAGTTCACCATATCAACGTGGAGAGCATGCACAAAATTCTCCCAGGGAGCCAAGCTCTGCTTGGTGCACGCTTTGCAGGCTTGATTTGCACTGGGGTAGACCGCATCATGACCGCTTCTTTGGTCCCATGATGTTCAGACTCACTGCTCCTTGCAGCACCAATTTCTATTCCTGCTGTTCTTGCTTATCATTTCCAAAAACTCCAGAATGGTTGTCGTACTGCTACACGACCCTTTCCAACACAGTCCGTGCCTTGTGCTCGGCGCCGTTGTTGAGGATGCCACAGAGCTGAGCAGCGGAGCACACTCCATGGAACTGTATGCTCGGCATTTAACACTTGAGGCTTGGACCGATGTTGTCTCCAAGCTCTTCATTGCTTTGAACTTGCCACTGTCCTTATCGCGGTTGTGGACCTGGCTCTTCTTGATCTGTCGTTGTGTTCTGGCCAAGTGAATGAGACTGGCCCGCAACCCACCTCCAAGCCCAGACTTGCTCCAGCGACGGGTACCACCAAGTCCTGCCAGAGTATGTCCTTAAAGTAAAAACCTACTCGAGACTGTCTCACCTGAACAGCCATCTCGCCCGTGGTGAGTGTCCCTGAGAAGGAAGCAGTTGGGAATGGATACGAACACACGGACACCACCGCATGGCCTGTCTTGTCAGAGCAGAAGACAGAGACACACCCAAGGGTCTCAACGGCGTCGATCTTGCGGACAATCACCTTTCGCACAAGCACCATAGCACAAGAAAATGCATCAAGCTCCCATCCGTCACACAAAATCAGCATTTATCGGCCGAGTGGCGTTTCGTGTCGCCATCTGATCCGAGGCAATCATCAGCGAAATTGTCACCGTTGGCAGAAGACCCTCAGGGACCTACAACGCAGCGCCATGCCGAACACGGCGATTTAATCCCCTTGCATCACTCGGCCTGCGCAAAAAGAGCTGCAGCGCTGTTCTGAAGAATTTCGGCCGGTCCACGTTTGACAGGCGAAAGCAAGTTGGCCAGCAAGCTCAGCAAGCCTGGGTCACACCAAGTCTAACAGCCAGAGTTCTAGATCTAGGTCTAAGTTGCAGACCAACGCAGATGGCAACCACAGCAATGATGTGGACCTGAAGCATGGAGAATTCACAACCTTCAAGCTCAGCAATCTCCGAATGGCTCAGCATCTTACGAAATGCTCAATCTGGATCTCCAGAGTCGATTTCACCCGCGAAGACTTGATTCCTTGGGGTGAAAGGGATTTGGCGCGACTGCCGGCCCATGCAGCAAGACAGCTGTTTAGCGAACCTTGCGCGATCTTCCCCAGGAACGTCGCGTCGCCCGTGGCATGCACCAAACAAGTGGCATTTCCCTAACAAAGGAGTGGTGATACACCATGGCATCAAGGCGCACGCAGCTGTAACAAGATTCGTTTGCACTGAACTTACGGCAGAAAGTCTATCTGCCAAACCCGCTCTTCTGGCTACGGCATGGCCTTCAGCACCGTTGTGCCAAAGAAGGCCAGGTTGCGAGCTTCTGGTGGTGGACACGTGACCTGTAACAGAAGCCGGTGTCCTCACTGCCCAAGGCTTTCTCAGTCCAACTGGGCTTCGCGACAGGCTCTGTCTTCGTGTGGCGGGGTTCCGGCATCGACTCCCCAGTCAGTGCCGAGTTGTCCACCTGCGCCAAGTACGCCAACAAGCGTCTTTTCTTTTCCTCGTTATCTCGGAACTTGTCAGCTTTGCCTCGGTGCCGTCTGTGCAATGCAAGATGCGGACGTCCGCTGGAATGCGATCGCCGGCCTGGTGCATCAAGCGGCTGGCTGGGCTCATTTGTGCTCCAGGCACGATTGCCAACTGCTCAGGAAGTGCCTGGAGGAAGATGATATCGCCAGGCACCAGGTGCAGAGGGTCTACCTCCAAGTCCACACGGCGCCCCTTGTCAATGCGTACCTGTGCTCTCTGGCTATTGTCGCCTGATTAAGGCTCTGGGGGTGCGTTACCCTAGAGTTTTGAGGAGTTTAAGGGGATGGGAATCTCCATGATTCAGGATTCTCCATCACAACCTCTCCCATCTCTCTGTGCAGAAAGCTGTGGCGCACGGCTGGCACCTTGGCAGCGGCCTGCCCACACACAAGAAACCATTTAGCGAATGCTACCAGTTCAAAACATGGGAAAAGGATGGAGTGGAGGGAGCATGCCCGGGGCCCACCACAGTATTCATTGGAACCATTGTGAGAGCTGCGGCGACTGAAGCCCGAAAGCCAGGCCAAGTGCCAAAGACGATGTGCAGTCGCAAGACATGGGCAGCGAGGCCTGCAGTTTCTGCATGGCTTCCATCTGGGACTCGGCCTGCGAAACTACCAGCAGCCAAGTTCAACTTACCATCATTCCTCTTGCAATTCCATGGCGGTGCAAAGCAGACTAAGCGGGTACAGCATCATTAGATGGTTTCCTTCGCACGCGACTGCCAGCACCCCTGTCTCGTTTGTTTCAGGGTCAGTTCATCTTGACTTCTTCGCGTGCTGGGATTTGGTTTGGGCAGAGGTTGGACCAAGATGCTGCTGGGTTCCTAGCCCTCGAACCCTGCAGCCTCAGCCATAAAGATGACAATTCTCGTGATATGTCGTGATGCTTCTTTCATCTGATTCTCTCATCAAGCGGTGATCATCATTCTGCCCTCTTCTTTGCCATGATTGCAATTGCTAGTACTGTATCACTCCGTTTGTCCGCAGAACATCGCTACCTTCAATCTCCACCTGTTGCTGCAAGGCTAGCAGGCTGGATTCTTGAAGCTGCGAGGGCTTTTCAGATAGGGGCTGAATTATCCCACAGGGCTTGCTGTCAGGCCAGGTTCGTGGATCTTTGGCCCATTTCTTGTACAGAACGGCTTTGGGGCTTTGAAACAAAGAGCTCATAAAGTCTTTCAAATGGGAGTATAACAAAACGACATCGGGCCAGCCATGACTACCACTGGGGCTCTGATGTACCAATCACAAGCTGGTCGGGAAAGCTTTGCTCACTGAATTCTACTACGAGCTGCGTGCCTTGAGCTCGGAGTACCACTGTAGGAGGGCTGCCATGACGATAACCGACCTCGGGTCCCAGCCCAACAGGCTTTGTCTGTTTGAGCCTCACTCTTGTCAGGCGCACGAGAGGATGATGGGCGTGACATAGTCTGGCCCTTCTTCACTGTGTGCGGCAAGGGCCTCTACACATAAGACATAGGATGCGGAGGGCAAGAGTACCCTAAACCCTGAGCCCTAAACCCATGAACCCTAAACACTTAAACCTGAAACACGAAGAAACCATAAGAAGACCACGAAGCCGATGGCCTCGTTAGCTGCGGTCGCATTCGGAGCAGATGCTTCGGAACCTGTCGCAGCATGACCCTACATCCGTCAGTTGAGGGTTTAGAGTTTGGGCTTTGGGATTCTATGCCGGGAGCTGTTCCAAAAGTAAGTTCCGAACCGGCTGTCTCCCCCGAGAAGATGAGAATCAAAGCCACCTCAAGGCTTAAGCTGGTAGCTCGGATTTACTCAGCTTCACAGATGGCCTCGGCAGCAACACAGGACCATAGGAGAATGTTGAAAATCCCCAGAAAAGTCTGCCTGCGGGGAAACAGGCTGATTGCGACCTGCCAGAGTGGCTGCTATGGCCTTAACAGTTTGATCCAAATATTCTCCCGCTTTGGCGGGGTGATCTCGTTTTTGCCATACCTAGCCACCGTCGACAGGAAAGGTCTGCAATCAGAAAGGGCGCTGAGAAAAAAGAAGTGCAGATTCACATGGCTTCCCAGGCGTCCTACACGTTGAAATAGACTCGTGCTTGCTCCTCCTTCAAACCACAGAGCCCGGTTTTGCACCTTGCGCTTCATCACTTTCCAAGACCAGGTGAAGGCTCCCAAAAGGGCTGAGGTGTGAGCGAACCCTCGCCCAGCTTGCTTTTGAAGATGGCAGAAAGCCTCACAAACTTGCCGACAGCTCACTGAAGCCATCATATCACAAGCGCTGCATACTCCAGTGACAGACACCGTCCAGTTCCAGCAGAAGAGGCGCCTATCTGGCTGGATCGTGTGCACGAGAGTCTTATAATCCTGTCAAATTGAAAAGCAGGTACCAAATTTGCCCGGATCACACCCGCAGGCGTAGCTAGCATGGATTTGAGCTTTCCTTCTCGTCCTCTGTGATGTCCTTTGGGTGCAGCCGCTTGTACCTGAGCAGAAGCTAGCGCTTTTGCTTAAGTTTTCCAGCACTTTGGAACGAGACTGCAAGAAACTATTTCAGTCACCTTTGTCTGCAGGCTTCCGCTTCAATGATGATGGCACTGGAGTTGCTGATGTGACCTCTTCCCGTCAGGCGCTTTCTACTCAGCAAGCGGCACTTGATGCCCTTTTCTTCTGCTTAGGCTTGGACTCTCCGATCTTGCAAAATTCGAACCATTTACGTTCTTTGCCTGCACAGGAAGCTCTAGGCACGCTTCCGACGCATGACGTCGCCATGAGCCTGCCTCATTTGTGGGCAGGATGTTGCTGATCAGGAGCTCGCGGTGAGAGTGCTCCATTGCGTCCTGCAGTTGAGCATCAGACCATCTTAGCACACAGTGCCCACGCACTGAAGGATTTGCTCCGCTTGTCGTCTAAACAACAGTCACAAGGGCATGCGACAGCACGCACTTTCTCTACATCCGTCCTGTCCGTCACCTTGGACGGGAGCTTGCTACTGTTGTGCCCAGAAATGGCGGCGGGGGTGCACAGCAATCGGAAATCGCATGCAATCAGCTTCTTGCAAAGTGTTTCCAAAAAGGCTCTGAGCTCTCTCCCATACGAATGCACAAGAAGCCGCGTCGTTGCCTGCCTCTACTGTTCAGCACAACCACAACGTACACGGGAAGACACAACATCAACCAAGGAATTCACCCAAACCAGGCTGGGGATTCACCTGATCTCTGCTTTCTTGCGCGGCAACCTCAGCTCACACAGGGGAGCCCATGCAATGCAAACATTAGACTCATTAGACGAGGCAGAGCAGATGTTTTTTTTTGCCACTTGCTCGAGGGATCATCAGCCTAAGCCTGGCAACCGCGCAAGCTTGGAGTCATTGAGTCATTTGCCAAGCTTCACTGTCTGCTGACAACAAATGCATTGGCGGCCTCCATGGATGTCGCTTTTCCTGCAGCTCGCACCTGGAAGATTTCTTTACACTTCTGCTCAGATCAGCCTTATCCTGCCTTGCTTTGTTTTGTCAGAAATGTTTTATCCCGCCTGGCGGGCTTCCTGTGCTGCCGCGCAGCAACAGCAGCAAGCCCACAACGCGAAATCCTGCTTCCAAGCAAAACCCAGCAGCGCCGCAACTGCACTCACTGCACTCATACCTCAGCTGCCATGGTTGTCTTGAAGCTCCTTGACCTGGTCTGTGGACTCGTTTCTGATGGCGAAGAGCTTTCGGAGCTGTTGCCGATAGTACCTGCAGCATCTGCAAACTATCACAGCCCATTCAAGGCTTGAGATTCTGGGGCCGCCGCGTAAACACCAGCGCAGCAGCCAGCCATGCCTCAAAACATGTTTTCGAACCCAAGCCAGGCTGCATCTCAAACTGAAGCCAAGCTGAGCCAAGCGGCCACTACTCCAAGCACCACGTCGTAATTTTGCGCCCAAGATCGAAGGTGAGAGATCACAATGAAGAGCAAGAATGCTGCCCAGAAGCCAAGGAGCCCCGATGCGTTCATGGTGTCTGCCTTGTGGGCTTGATATCTCCGAATGGAGAGCCGCACAGATGTCCGAGCTCTCCTATGGCATGCTGTGGCTGCGGCCCATCGGCAGGGCAAGCAGCAGAAGGCTAAGAAGGTAACATGCATATCCTTGGCCAGAAGCTGAAGTTGGCATTTGCGGGCCGTGGCGAAGATACAGCTCCGTACGACACCTCGAAGAAGTTGCAGATGCCAAACTGGAAGTCGTCGCTTTCAGACTCTGCCTAGAACCAATCCAAACACAAGCAGATACAGGCAGTAACCGTAGCAGCTAAAGCTACAGTGGGGCGTCAAAGAAACGCCACACCTGGATCTCAATCTGGGGGTCTTTCCAGAGGTAAGCATAGATCGCAGCACAGCCCAAGACCTTTACACGACTGCGGGTGGATGTCAGCCGCCTCTGACAGCTCTGACAGTTGTGGGCCGCAGGCTGTCAGTGAGTAGACGGCGAAGACGAATATCAGAGTGCGCAAATGAGCCCAGGCCATGCTTTGCTCCTGCAAGCCAAATACCATACGTGTCTCCATGCAGTGGCCACATGTGGCCAGAACTGGCTCCTGATCGATAAGCTCTTTGATCTCCTTGTCAGTGGTCGGGCCTACATGAACGACGGGAAGGTCCTGCCACGAGTCTCTGGCACAGGGTTCACATCCTCGGTTGGGCAACAACCTTGTCCATCTTTGGGTCCGCCTTGTCCACGATCTTTTGCAACAGCACAGACGGCCCTCTTGGGACAGCGACATGCAAACAGCAGGCAAAACTGCTCAGGGGTGTATACTCCCGAGAAGCAGGCGTGCTGCCCGAAGAAACTCGGTCAGGCGGGCAGTCGCAGTATGTTCGGCAACCTACTGTTGAGCGTGCATGAGGCATATCGGCATATCCATCAAGAGAGGGCGGTCGGCTTCTGCAGGTGGCCTTGCCAGGCACCTCCCCTTCAGCACCTTGCTGTCCTGGCCAAGCAAGCGCATCATAGCACTTCTTCAATCACAACGCAGGCTAGTCACTGTAAGCTGCTTTTTTGATTCTGAGGCTCGGTCCAATGACGGCCGCATCCACCACCAGCAGCAAACCTACGAAGCGCAACAGCCTCAGCGCAGCACCAGATCAAACACCTGGATAAAAGTTGAGACAGTCCTGTGCCCCAAGCGACATCATGGCGATGGGCTCTGTGAGATCCGGCTCGGCTTGCCAACTACGTTCTGTGTGCCGCGCTGGCACGCGGATGACTTTAGAGCCCAGATGTCAGGAAGGCGCACTGAGATTTCACAAGCAAAACGCGCAATGGCCACTCCAGCCAGAGTTCATTTTCTGGAGTGTTTTGATGTGGCGCATGCAAGAACCGGAACCTTTGACCTGCATCATTCGGATGAGGCAAAAGACGGACCGTCTAAGCACTACAGGCTCTGGTGGCTCATGCATCCCAAGCAAGATCCGCATAGCAGTCCTTACAGCTTGCACAAAGACATGGGTATTTTCAGGACCCTGACAGTTGTGAGTTGAGATACGTAAAGAGCGCGGTACGCTTTTTCCTGTTCGAACCTTTGCACTATCAAGCGATGAACTGCTGGCCGAGCTTCTTCGCCAGAAACTTGTGACTCTGCTTGCTGCCTTCCCCCTCAGGGATGGCCTGTCCTGCATGTGGTCTGGGTTCTAGGGGTTTCCACCCACCTCGCTTTTGAGAATGTATGTCTTTCTTATCCATGAAGCCTGCACAAGTGTCAGCATGTTGTACAGGTTGTATGGGCTGTCAACATCGTGGCCCCATTTTGGGTACACTGCATATAAGGGGGCGTATCATAATCGGAACCCAAAAGTGGTCCATACTTGTTGACAGCCTTCCACATCTTCAGCCATCCCACATGCCCTCAACCTTCGTGGAAGACATGGTAGGAAGTGTGAATCCGACTGGAACAGGGTAAGGGTAGGGGCACAGCAGCAGGAATGAGATAAAAGGTACAGGCGACAAGAACTGAGGGGAAAGGGTCAAGGAGCACAATGAAAATTAGAGGTAGGGCACACGCACCATGAACGCCAAAGATGGAGAGTGCGGTCACGCCACCACAGAAAGCTAGGCCCGAAATGCAACAAAAATGCGTTCTATACAAGAACCGCTATACATCAGCCAGTTCAAGCAGCAACAGAGGCGGAGTCAGGGATGATTATTTTCCCCGTTGTTAATTTAGTGATTTTGTTGCTGATGTAATGGAACTGTTGCCGCTTGAACGGACTCGTAGAGTTTAAAACTATGGCTTCAGTCATGGCATGGCGAGATAGTCGGAATTGGAAAAGGACAATGCAGGAAACCCTGGTGATAGACAATTCATGTGGCTCAAAGGTTGACTTTCCATCCCTTCGTCTACAAGACATACAGCGGCAATGCCAATACCGGACGGAGATGTGTAGGCATCTACAACACGAAGGGTAATGCAAAGTTTCAGCATGCGGGTGAGGGACGGAGACAAGGTAAGCGTAAGGGTGTACATAGCAAGTGCACGGCGTACAGGTGAGTGTGAAGCTTGCAAGAAAATTGTAAGGGTAAAAAGGGTGGACGGGCACAAAAGTAAGGATGAAAACAGTTCAGTGTCAAGTAAAGGCTAGGGGTAAGGTGGTAAGGCTACGGGGGTATGTAGAAGGGTTCAGGTACGGGCGGGAGAAAGGTACCAGCAGGGTTAGGGTAATGTGTTAGGGTAATGGGGTGCAAACTTGATGACAATTATGAGGGTCACAAGAATGGACACGCCCAATCACTTGGCTCTGACTGGCTGCCGACAAATTTGACCCACAAGCACATGCCGCAAATGGCAAATCCCAGCAACACCGTACTTTAATCGGGAATACGACACTTACGAACATCCGTCAATGTTGGGCTCGACCCACAGCCCTCGAAGCAAGAACCCTTCACCGCTTGCCAGAAAGGACAGCTCAGCTGCCAGGGTCTCCTGCTCACGGTCCTCCTGCCTTGGGTAGCATGGCTTGTGCAAAGCTTGCCAAAGGTCCACACTTTTCGTGTACCAAACTGGGGCACTGACACCCAGTCAGGCCCGTTTGGCTGTATGCAGGGTTGACGTGGGGGCAGCGCTGCCCCAGCCCCATGCGGGAAGTTTGCAGGAACCGGAACCTCCTCGTTGCCTTCTCCTCCCAAGCCTTTGGGCAGTTCCCGCAGGTCAATCCGTGCATGCTCTGCAAGGCCGCTGGCGAAGTCATGGCCGAGGATGGCAAACTTCTGCCTGGAGAGAAGGAGAGCACACCAAACTTCAGGTCCATGGGGCCATGCTTAGTATGTGATCCTTTTGATCTTAGCGCCCCAGCATCCGGCCTCCTCGAATCAGATCTCTTCTATAACCCCGCCGCCGCCAACGCCGGCTGGGAACATGCTTTAAGTGTCGGTACTTAGAGCACCTCTTGTGCGATTGAAACTAGAGCTCCTTTTGGCCACCCCCTCCCTGACCCGCTCCCGAGACTCTTGCTTGCTGGTCTGCTGGCAAAAGACCGCACGCAACGAATGAACCAAGAAAAGTTTTCTAGCCTAGGAAGTCGCTACTTTCTTTGGGTGACAGTTGATATTGGGGTGAAACGATTCTGTCTCCAGACTTAGTCTAAACTCTTAGTATCCCCTTAGCAACCCGTATAGTAGACCCCTATAGAAGGCCCTGTATCTTCTGCCTCGTCATCTGCTCCAACAGGAGCGGTGCTGCCAGCTGCCAAAGCCAAGAGAACATGACCGGAGCGCGGATGATTGTCAGTGTGGCCGCCATTTCCTGGGTTGCTGTTAAGGAAGTTGCATTAACTTGCCATAATTGGAATATTAGAATATA